CCTTGTTCCCTTGAGAGAACAGGGCGTTCACATTTTCAACTACCTCGACGACTGGCTCGTACTAGCTCAGTCTCAGGATCAGTTGTGTGTACACAGGGACTTGGTGCTTTCGCATCTCAGCCGGTTGGGCCTTCGGGTCAGCTGGGAAAAGAGCAAACTCTCCTTGGAGACACTTTCAGAGCCTCCTGGGGCATATGGCGGCTGCAGCGGCAGTCACGCCGCTGGGACTGCTTCATATGAGACCACTTTAACACTGGCTCTATGGCCGAGTCCTGAGGTGGGCGTGGCTACGCGGCACTCACCGGGTCCGAGTCACACCGGCCTGCCGCCAAACCTTCACCCCGTGGTCAGACCTTGCGTTTCTCCGGGCAGGAGTGCCCCTAGAGCAGGTCTCCAGGCATGCTGTGGTTCACACGGATGCCTCTACCACCGGCTGGGGGGCCACGTTCGATGGGCTTGCAGTGTCGGGGGTTTGGACGGGCCCCCAATTGCACTGACACATCAATTGCCTTGAGTTGCTGGCAGTGCACCTTGCCTTGATCCGTCTCAAAGGGTGCTTACGAGGCAAGCACGTACTAGTCCGCACGGACAACACTGCGACCGTTGCATACATCAACCGACAAGGTGGTCTATCCTCCCGTCGCATGTCGCAACTCACCCGCCACCTCCTCCTCTGGAGTCAGAAGCATCTGAGATCGCTCCATGCCATTCACATTCCTGGTCTGCACTCCCGGGAGAATGGAGACTCCATCCCCAGATGGTCCAGATGATTTGGAGTCGTTTCGGAGCCGCTCAGGTAGACCTGTTTGCCTCTCCAGAAACTTCTCACTGCCAGTTGTTCTACTCCCTGACCGAGGGAACACTTGGCACGGACGCACTGGCACACAGCTGGCCGCGGGGCCTGCGCAAGTACGCGTTTCCCCCAGTGAGCCTTCTCGCACAGGCACTGTGCAAGATTAGGGAGGACGAGGAGCAGGTCCTGCTCGTGGCGCCTTACTGGCCCACTCGGACTTGGTTCCTGGAACTGGTGCTCCTCGTGACAGCCCCTCCTTGGCAGATTCCTCTGAGGAAGGATCTACTGACTCAGAGACGGGGCACCCAGACCCAGCCCTAGCTTTGCTTTGTCCCATCCGGGCATTGAGATGCTACATAGACAGGACGCAAAGCTTCAGGACCTCAGACCAGCTCTTTGTCTGTCACGGAGGCCGGCAGAAGGGGAATGCCGTCTCTAAGCAGAGGATGACCCACTGGATTGTGGATGCCACCACCCTGGCTTATTTATGTATATAAAATATTGTAACAACTGATAAGCATTTTTAAGAAACAGATCATAGAAATAATTGATTCCAGTCTCATTTGGAAGAATAGTCCCCTCACCCACTGGAAAGCAATTTCAATCTTTCAATTTCAAGGTTCCAACTGAATTTCTGCATAGAGGACCCTATTTTTTTTATTGTATATTCTATAAAGTAATGACTCATTCAGTTTTAGACAGTACGTTGCCAAGAATGAACAAATTCAACACTTAAAAATGTAAAATGGGTTTCAGTTGAAGGTAACTAAATTACAAAAAACAATGGATTTTTATATTGTCTATATGCAGGTAGAACTGAAACATGACAAGCAATGCAGTTTTTGTAAAGCCATCAACTGTTTGTATTTTGACAGTCACTGTGCTATGATTGACTATATGTTCCTGTTGGATACAAAAGTAGTGCTAATGTTTTGACCGAATGACTCGATTTTGAATCGGGTTTGCTGTGTTTTGATAGAGTTAATATATGTAGAAAAAGGTATTCAGCATTTTGAAATGTAGAGTTTGTATTTATTTAACAAAATGTGGTTTTGGCCAGAAAATTAACTATTTGGCTAATTGTGTGATGTAGGTGTATTGCAGTGTTAAGAGTTTAGAAAAAGTACTTTAATATTGGTAAACGCTTGTTAGCAATTGAAAAAAAAAACTGTCACTTGAACACCATTGTGGTCATAAAAAATAGTTTGATTTATGTAAAATGGCATCAGAATTCCTTGATGTAATTGGACACAAGGGTTGATTATGGGATGTGGGTTGGATTTCAGATTGAAGTGAACAAGCAGCTGTGTGTGAGGGGGAGGGGAGGTCAGTGGTCAACTCAATGCTGATGTTTTACATGAGTAAAACAGCAGTAGTGAGGAAGTGTGTTTGTGTGTGTGTGTTTTGAAAGCATGCGTGTGTGTGAGAGAGAGTGTGTATGTGTGTGTGGTTCAGGTATTCCCTACGTTATGGGGACAAAATGTCCCCACAAAGATGGCAATATCCAAAATCCTTGCCCTTGTGGGGACATTTTTTGGTCCCTGTGAGGAGACAAACTTACCATACTGAATTAAGTTTTTCTGAAAATCTAAAAATGCAGAAAGTTTCCTGTGAGGGGTAGGTTTAGGTGTAGATTTAGGGGATCGAAAATACAGTTTGTACAGTCGAAAAACCATTACGCCTATGGAATGTTCCCATATAACATGGAAACCCAACATGTGTGTGTGTCTGTGTGTGTATGTGTGTATATGTGTGTGTACTTACGAGAGCACGTCTCCCACATACGCATAGTAAGAGCAGCAGAAAGGAGGAACCCCATCACAGCAGTACTCAATACAGCTGTCGCACTGAGCATCTCCACGGCCTACCAACACACACGTACACAATATGATTGATATAAAATATTAATAAAACATAAATAAGAATATTTGCTCAGTGTCAACTGATTTACAGTATCACTGGCATCATAAATATATTCACATTTTCACCATTTAGTGATGTGCATTAGGGTTGTGGAAATTCACGATCTGTGTTGTTTTAGTATTTAGTAGTTTTAGTTACAGTAATATTTTGAATTAGATTTAATTTTTATATTTTCCATTTTCAATTTAAGTTTAATTTAATTTTTAGTAATTCTGTTGTGTTTTGTAATTTTTATTGTTTTTTTAATATATATATA